TTTTGTAAATGGAAATCTTCTAAGCCTCGCACACATAATTCCAAATATAACATATCCTTTCCTGTTCTGCATTATTTCGCTACTGTTGAGCTCGTGTGATTCATGCAACTACTCAAACAACTTTTACAAGCCACTCGACTGACTGCAGTTTACATAACAAGCACATATATACACATATGCATATATATATATGGAGTTATAGCTGATTTGCATAGCATCAGTAGCGCCCATAAAAATGTGCAAAACAAAACGCCCAACTTGATTTGTATGGAGCGCAGGGCCAATAAATCTAAAGGACGCACGCAGAATGAGCAACAAAATGGTGACACAGACGGCCAAGCGGGAAATTCAAGGAATCACCCCTATACCGATATATGTATATGTAAATGAAGTGATATATGTATAATTAACAGCTACAAGGCGTTGAGTCAACAAGGAGCGGGCGGTCTGGCCAGCGAGATATCCAATTGCATGGCCAATTAGAGCGCAGCTACCTGGGACTTGAATCTAATGTGAGCTTATCTTGTACACGATTTGTCTGGGCTCACTTACAAAACGCGATGCATATCGCCATCGCAACGGTGGCAGATGAGCATTACCCGTGCCATGCCCTGTCGTACCCTGCCGTACCCTGCCGTGCCGCCAATAGACCGATCTACAGCGATCCTAGACTGATTGATGGGGTCTGCTGTCAACAAGCGGTACGCTCCGAACTGCATAAATTATAATTATAAACGAAAACTACAAGAGAGTGGAAATACAAATACTAAAGACTATAAAACACAATAAAACAACAACAAAAATTAAAGAAGAGAAGAAAACTTGTTCATTTATTTCGTGGAATTCCGCACAGATCATTTACATATGCGAGCGAAAGAAACTTTAAATTTTAATTACACTCACTAAATCATCGGGCCGGGCTAAGATTCTCCAGCCCCTTACTCTCAATACCCTGTACAGATGCCATATTTAGGGAGCTGGGAGTATCAATTATGTTGTTGACTCTGGTAGGAAAACGAAGTTGGACCGAGAAAATTATGGACAATAGCAATATAATACCTGATAAAACTAAAAATTTATGATTATGGATAGAAGAGTTACTTCTTAAATATATAAAATGTTCTATAGCATCTCAAATTTTAAGACAGAAATAGCCTTAAGGCAAAATACTAAATCTTGTATAGAATGGTATTTTTATTTAATTAACTTGACTTTATAAATAATACAAAAGAAATATCTCAGGCCATGTCTAGCATCTACAGGGTATCTAGTAGTCGATTACCCAACACTTAAGCACACTTACTCGTTTTTTGGTCGCATGACTAATGTTTATTAGCTGCTAATGGTTTGTTTTACAAAAGCTACGTGGCTTGATTCAGAGCCTGAGCCCGAGCCTGAGCCTGCCCTGAAAATTGGAGTCCAGAGTCTGGAGTCTGGCGTGTGTGGAGTATGTGTGTGTGTATGTGCGTGTGTGTGCTGGGACTCCCAAAACGAAAAACTCCATGCCACAAACTGTTTCACCCGTTGACATTTTGACAAATTTCCGGCTGCTCGCTGCCGTCATGTTGTTGGGGGAGGTGGAGAGGCTGCGGAGCGTCCACAAGCGGGGCTCCAATGTAAGCTGATACCTATCTGAGATGCTGATATCATCTGCGCGTGTGTGTGTGTGTACCTCTGCCTCTCTCACTTCATCTCTCTCTCTCTCTCTCTCTCTCTCTCTCTCCCTCTCACTCTGTCACACACACGCTCTCGTCTTCGTATTCTTTTGCCGATCTTCGTTCACACTATTAATTTTCCGCTCGTTTTTCGCCTCACCTGTTCGTCTTGATGTGGTCACTGTCATTGTCATTTCTGTTGTCGTTGTAGCTGTTGTTGTTGTYGTTGCCGTCTCTCTTGTTGTTGTCGTTCCATGGGGTGGTCGGCATTTATCACATTTTGTGTGCGTTTAAAGTCTTTCACTTTGTTTGAACCTTTAATGTCATGTGTTATCGGTTAATGATCAGCCGTTGCCAAGTGATTTTCTGTCAGCGGGTGATCACCCATTCCCATTGTCTCTCTCTCTCTCGGGTTATCTCTCCTCCTCTCTCTCTTCTCTCTTCTCCCTTGTTTCTTCTGGCTAAGCGCATCTCCATGTGACTTTAATTTCGGGTTTCTTAATGTGTAGCCTGACAAATGTGTTGATTTGCGAAAGGTTTTTATATTCCTTTCCATGATTTTCATACCTTTATCGGCGCGATTAATGACTAGGTGATTCGCCATTTTGATGAAGAATTTGATATATTATATTTTATATCAATATTTTTTACATATTTTAGATGATCCTTTATATTATACTTTAGGACTATACTAATACTACTTTAATGTAATGTGAATCTGTACTCAATTGATTAAACATAATAAACCCAGGATGTGTGCACAACAGCTTTTCAGAGGTATAGAGAGAGAGAGAGAGAGAGAGAGAGAGAGAAAGAAACGAAACATTTAATCTGCATATAAAGCACATGAATTTAATACAAAAAAATCTAATTTATCATTTAATTTTGTTTCTTTGTTTTAGTTCAATGCGAGAATAAAATAAAAATTAAAAAAAAAAAAAAACAAATAAATAAATAAACCAACATAATTTAAATAACAAAACAACATAAATTCTGATTACATACTGGATAAATACAGTTAATCTCATTTATTTTATAAAAAATTCATGCAATTAAGAATCAAAACCATTTTAATAAGTATTCCCTGCATAAAGCATATTATTAACTATTTCGCTCTTTAAACTAAATTTAAAAATTTTATTGACTTTTTCTGTATTTTTATGTCTACTTTTAGAGCTTAAAATAAGTTTTGGCTCTTTTGCTATGATATACTTAAATAAAAGTATAGGTGTTTTAACACACCTGCTTGTCAGCGACGTGATATACGATCTTGATGTGATAGATAGACAAAAACTTTGTCTCTTCGCCTAACATTCTAGCGGAAAACATCAAATGATCGAACGCGACTTTCCCAAAAACACTAAACTTGCATTCCTTAAAAGCTATGCAAAACGACGCCCACACAGCAGCTAAATAGACTTTTAATACAGCCATAAAATGGAATAAAGGAACCTCCCAAAGACAAAAAAAAAACCGAATGTTGCAATCGGGCATCACCAGCTGCAAAATACTCGTTCATGATTCCGAATGGTTAAATCAATTTTACAAAGTCTTAAGTCAGCAGCAGAAGGACAGACGCACGGACGGATGGACAGACGGACAGAATAACGGATGAATGGGCGGACGTACGGACTGGCAGGAAGAAAAGAGCAAACAATCTGATCGTGAACTTACGCACGGATGTATGGATAGACTTACGGACGGATGGATAGACAGAGGAATGGACAATCAACAACATGGAGATTGCACTAAAGATAGATAGATGGACTTACAGACGATGGGACTTACGGACGGATTAAATTACGATCGGATGGATAGACTCACGAACGGACATTCAGTAATATGAACATTGAGCCAAACCAATATACTCTCTCTTCACATCGCAAGCGAGCTCAACAACCGCTAAAAATTTGTGACTCCGCCAACAGTTACGGAAAACATTTAGGAGGTGTTATAACTATTGTGTGTGCCGTATAATTTATAC